AAAATGATGGAGAGTTAAATTTCCTCTTTTTTTATTTTTTATTGAATTTACTGGAGTAACATTGGTTAATAAAAGTATGTAGGTTTCAGATGTACAATTCTATAATACATCACCTGCATATTGTATTGTTTGATCATCACCCCAATTCACATCTCCTTACATTATCAACATTTATCCCCCGATACCTCCTTATACCTCTCTTCACCCCTTCACCCCTTCCCCCGCCAAATAGCTCTTTTTCTCCTGATTTTCTTCATTCAGACCATCCTTATTCACTTCGGGTTGAAACTGGGATATCCTTTTTCTCAATGTCTTGGAATAACTATTAATACATCATAAGATTTCCTTTGTATTTTCCTAAACCAAGGAAAGAAAAGCTAAGGTAGAAACGTTTACAAAAAAATTAAAAACCTTCCAGAGATAATATTTAGAGCATACAAGTGTTGCTTTCTCACTAGACCAGAAATACCAGTTTAGACATTTTGGAGAGTCCAAATTTGTAGAAAGTGCTCCAGTGATCTGAGAAAGGGAGAAGCATTGAGCCGAGTCCCATGAGAGCAGCTTCTTCCACTGTGCGTGCGGCTCCGGGAAGTTTGGCGGAAACGGGGAAAGAAAACCTGCCGCCTCCTCTCTGTTAGATTTGGCCCTGCTTTCACCTCTTCTGGGTGAGAGGGGAAAGTTAACAAATGTTTCACATACTCTGTCACTTTCACATGGTCATCTGACATGTGCACTTGGCTCTCTTGAAGGTCACCTTGAATTAATAGTTGTTTTTTTGGCCACTGTCTACCTATGTGTGTTGTCTGAAGTGTGCTCATTCAGACCACGGGTGAAGCCGGGTAGTGACTGAATGGTCCAGTCTTCTCGTGGGGAGGCGGGGCAGTTTATCAGAGGACTTAGGACAGGAGTGGAAAGTTAGCATTTAGGCTGAAATGTTTTTCGGCCATGGTTTTTTTCTGGTTGAATTTTATTGTCTCTATAACGTCTCTTTGTTTACTTGAATATTTGAGGGTACTTCCTCTCCAGATTTGGTTCTGCTTACACCTTAAAGGTGTACTTTAAGGCTAGCATTATGGCTCATCTGCAACAACAGAAAAATGCCCTGTGACTATCACAGTCAAACAGGATGATGATGACTTTGAAAAACAGTGCGATGTCACTTCCCTTGCTTGTTCTGCCCCCCTCTTTAAGGTTAGTGCTTTATGGAGCTGGCCAGTTCCCGGTGTACTCCTCTTATCCAGCCTCTGACATCTGCTGCCTGATGGGATTCTCACCATGGCAATTTTTATCTTATTTGACAATCCATGTATGGAACCATATATAGTTTGTTTTTCATATTTTCTAAGTGAAATCACAATGTCTCTAAATAAAAGGACTTTGTCCTCTTTCCCCCCGTCGTTTCCTTCAGCATTGACTTCATCTTGTGCCAAATGTGCTTGAATTCCCTCTATTCCCCAATACCTTGAGGAGCAAAAACGCCTGAGTGATGCCCGCTGGAGGGGAAGTGGGGGAAGTGGGCTTGGACCAGGCAGCTGGGAAGCGAAGGAACTAATGTCTGGTCTAGCTAAGTTAGAGGTTAAAAGGAACGAAGTGAAAGTCATTTGTGTCATTCCAGAGGGACTGTCAGAACACAGGAGCCAAAACAAAAGTAGGAGATTCGCCAGCCAGCACCCTGCTTGCCACAGCCTTGCAGAGGATGTGCATTTGGCAGTCACCCCGCCCCCCTTCAGCTGCTCCCTGGGAGTGCCTGTCTCAAAGCAGGTTGATTTCATCAGCAGCTCCATCTGGAATTTGAGATTTATTTTCTTAGTTTCTATGTCAGGGTTCACCACCAACAAACCCCTTTGCCCTTCCCACCTCCAAATTTGGTTATTTACTAAAAAGGCTCACAGCCCGCCCTCCATATCTACTGGTTATGTATCCTCGGATTTAAAATACTCAGGAAAAAAATTCCAGAAAGTTGATCCCTAAACAATACATTATAACAACTATTTACATAGCATTTACAATGCATTAAGCCTTATAAGTAATCTAGAGATCATTTAACGCATCAGTCACCATCCAGTGACCACAGATGATCCATGAAGTCTGAAAGGTTGGTGACTGCTGATTTACAGTACATTGAAGGATGTGCATAGGTTCTATGCAAATGCCATGTCATTTTAATAAGGCACTTGAACATCTGTGGATTTTGGTAGCCACAGTGGGTCCTGGAACGAATCCTCTCATGGATACTGGAGACCCAGGTATGACTATAGTCTCATGGTTATAATTTTTTAGAGCAAGAGGAGATAAAGCAAAATCAGCCAGGGGAAAGGCTCATGTGGTAAAGTCTGGAGTGACCGTTTCCAAACTTCCAAAGTCCTCTTCCAGTGGAGTCACATAGGACATAATTTCTCCAGCAACAAGCTGTGACAGCACGTATGGAGTGCTGTTTAGCAGGCACACTCATTAGAGACCCAGAGCCCTGGGTTCTTATTGGGGCTGGTCACGCAGGCATCCTCTACCTAGCAAGTACTAGAATTCCTAGCTCAGAAGGAAAGCAGGTGTTCATCATAAACCATGGTGCACAGCGTCCAGGTGCAGCGAGCGAGCCATTCTTCCCAGGGAATTGGTGGGAGCCCTCCCCAAGTCTGAGTTTCTTGATGCCAGCCCAGGGTGAAAACAGTCTCAGGCCTGCTACATGGTCTTTATACAGTTTCTAAAGTTGCTCTTACTTTTTTTCTTTGAATTTATTGAATTGGACTTCCACATTTGTGTCCAGTGATTGAGGTGCTGGCTAGATGAGCCTTGGTCTGTCATTGCTTAGGGGGAACTCTTGTCTGGGTCAGTGGGTGTTTTGCTTTCTGGACATGGTTTTACTTTGATGGTGCTGCCTGCTGGCTTGCAGCCTGGGCTTCTGCCCAGAGGGCAAGTTGCCTGACTGCCTGTGCCCTTTTATCAAGATGACTCATTCCTCCTTCACCCCTTTGCCCTGCTGGGTTTCTCAGACTGTCTGGTCCCGGCAGACTTCCTTTCCTTGGTCCCTGGGTGGATACCATCTCCAGGCTCCGTGGCACAGACTTGCAGTTTTCAGGGGAGAAGCATGGGTGGGGAAAATTGTAATTAACCTCCATTTGAAACCTATCTTACCATTTTTAAAAGTATTAATTCTTTGAAAATCTTTCTTTGGGATTTGCACCTCTTTGCCTTTGAGTTTGCTCTTCTGTTTGTTTGTTTGTTTGTTTGTTTCTTCTTTTTTTTTTTTTCCTTTCTTTTTCTTTGAGTTTTAGCTGCCTGGTTTCACAAATCTCCTGACAGTGGTTTAGAATCATATACAGTTGACCCTAATAAATGCGGAGGTTAGAAAGTGCAGTCAAAGATACACATATAACTTTTGACTCCCCAAATCTTAACTAAACTTAATAGCCCACTTGCAGCCTTACCAATAACATAAATAGTCACTTAACACATATTTTGTATATTATATGTGGTCTTGCAATAAATAGAGAAAAGAAAATGTTATTAAGCAAACCATAAGGAAGAGAAAATACATTTGCAGTATTTATGGGACAAAATCCATGCATAAGTGGACCAGTGAAGTTTTAAACCCATGTTGTTCAAGAGTCAACTGTTCTCTTTTCTGTCATCTCCGGGCAGGTTCATTCTTGCTGATCTGCCCCTCTCCTATGCAGCCTTGGCGCCTCAGAAGCTCTCAAGCAATGGCTCTGCAAGGCTTCTCACACCCAGAGAGGCATCTCAGTGTCTGGCCTCTTGTGTCATGTATGTTTGCATCAGGTCGCATATGCCCAGTTACCTATGGCTTGAACTCATTCACTTGCATCTGCCTCTAATGTTACCAAATCTATTTTTAGTCACATCAACCATTCCACAGCCTTGGCCAAAGCTATGGGCAAACTGTGATGACATGGGGACTGTGGCTAAACTAAACTGTTGCTTTCAAAGTTGTGGCAGTTTCACTAAAGTACCCTCGGGATTCGGCTGCAGTGGGCATGGGGAAGGGAGGGGAATTGCCCTCCTAAATAGGAGTCTTGTCACTAAAAACCCTTGGGGACAAGAGTCTGTTTGTACCATTACTAGAGTTTAAATCTTACCTCTTGGTGATGAAGGACTGCAGAAGAGCAGAACAGAAGTGTAGAGCCATGCAGACGTGCCAGCTCTGAGGATGGATGTGGGGGACCATGGAGCGTAATTAAAATACATTTTTTTCAGTTACAGTTTACATTCATTATTTTATATTAGTTTCAGATGTATAGTATAGTAGTTGGACAATCATATACTTTACAGAAGAATTATATTTTTAATTTATTAACTTCAATTAATTTCAGTAGCTGCACGTCACTTGTGGCTTTGGTGTTGTTCAGGAGGTAATTGTAATGGGGCCTTTGATTTAAATCTCGGGTTTTGAGAATTTGTCATCATTCACAGAAAGCAGTGGATCTCAACCTTTTTAATGCCACGACCCTTTAATACAGGTCCTCATGTTGTGGTGACCTCCAACCATAAAACAATTTTTGTTGCTACTTCATAACTGTAATTTTGCTACTGTTAATGAATTGTAATGTAAATATCTGTGTTTTCCGATGGTCTTAGGCTCTACAGCAGCGGTTCTCAACCCGTGGGTTGCGTACCCCTAGCAGGGTCGCCTTAGACCATCAGAAAACACAGATATTTACATTACGATTCATTAACAGTAGCAAAATTACTGAAGTAGCAAAGAAAATAATTTTATGTTTGGGGGTCACCACAGCATGAGGAACTGTATTAAAGAGTCACGGCATTAGAAAGGTTGAGAACCGCTGACATAAAGGGCTTAGAACAGTGCCTGGGGAGAGCTGTGTTTTTAGCAAAAACTCCGTGTCTAAGATGTTGTTGGCCTTATTATGCTGACTTAGTATTTTGACTAGAATGGTGGTAGAGTTCATGAGGAATATGAAACTCTTTATTTAGCTTTTATATTTTCTTTTCTAAATAAAATTATTATTATTCTTTTGCTTTAGGTTGCTGCAGCTACTGGCCACACAGTAGTGTTGGTGGACCAGGCAGATGACATCCTGGCAAAATCCAAAAAGGGAATTGAGGAAAGCCTTAAGAAAATAGCCAAGAAGAAGTTTGCAGACAATCCTCAGGTAATTTCTTGTTCTCAGCATCCTCAAGATCAGTTCTCTGACCACTTCACATTCTTGAAGGAAGGGTAAAGTGCTGGCCCTTGCTTACTTTTTCAGTTTGTTTATGTAAAACATTTCTCCATAACTTTAGACCAATATAATAGCATAATCACTAAATATAACTTTAGACCAATATAACATACATAATCACTAAAAAACAGAAGAAGTAGCCGGCACCGGTTTGGCTCAGTGGATGGAGCGTTGGCCTGCGGACTGAAAGGTCCCGGGTTCGATTCCGGTCAAGGGCATGTACCTTGGTTGCGGGCACATCCCCAGGAGGGGATGTGCAAGAGACAGCTGATTGATGATCTCTCTCATCGATGTTTCTAACTCTCTAGCCTTCTCTCTTTCTCTCTGTGAAAAATCAATAAAATATATTAAAAAAAACACACACACTCAAAAAAAAACCCAGAAGTAAATAACCACATTGTTGGGTGGGATCTGAGGTTGAGGAGAAAGTTCTACAGGTGGTGAACTCATTTTGTCCACTGAGAGTTTAGGATTGAATGACACCTATCGTGTTATAAGGATGCACGAGAGAAAAACAGGAAGATAATTCTCGTACTTGTAAGTTAACAAGAGAATGAGACTATAAATACTGTGTTTCAATAGAAACTTTCAGTTGCTTAGGTATGCCTGTTATTGATATACTTGTGAGAGAGGAAAATACAGTCATTGTCGCTTTCAGCAGGGCCAGAGGTGCAAGAACTTGAGAAAGGCCTGGACGGCAGGGACTCTGTTTCACTGACTCCTTCACAAATAATTAGAAGTACTACAAAAGTCACCCTGGTGCATCATTGCTTATCTTTGTCACTTTGTTAAATTTGCTTAGGATCGATTTCCTTGAAGCTTGAATGAAAATTCTCCGTATACAGGCAGAGAAGAGTGCAGGTGGGGATTTTGTTCTTTTTCTTTTCTTTCTTTTTTTTTTTTTTAATATATTTTTTATTGATTTTGTACAGAGAAGAAGGGAGAGAGATAGAGAGTTAGAAACATCGACGAGAGAGTGTCATCGATCAGCTGCCTCTTGCACACCCCGGGAGATATGCCCGCAACCAAGGTACATGCCCTTGACCAGAATCGAACCCGGGACCCTTCAGTCCCCAAGCCGACGCTCTATCCATTGAGCCAAACCGGTCTTGGTGATTTTGTTCTTTTTCATCTGAGGTATCCACGAGGATGTGAATGGGTCCCTTTAAAAATCTTTTTATTACGCTGGCCAGGTGGGTCAGTTGGTTGGAGAGTCACCCCATACATACTCCAAAAGAGGTGGTTAAGTTTGATTTCTAGTCAGGGCACATACCTAGGTTTCAGGCTCGATCCTTGGTTGGGAGGCAACTGATAAATGTTTATTTCTGACGTCCATTTTTTTCTCTCTCTTTCTCTCTCTCAAATCAATAAAAAAAATCTTTGGGTGAGCATTAAAAGAAAAAAAAATTATTTTGATAAAATACATATAAAAATTTTGCCATTTTAATTCAGTGACTTTAATTCACACTGTTATACAACCATTACCACAGTTTGTAAAACTTTTTCATCTCTCCAAACAAACTGTACCCATTAAACAATAATTCTCCATTCCCTTCTTCCCTTGTCTCTTAACCTCCATTCTTTCTGTCTGTTTGAATTTGCCTTTTATAGAAACTTTAATAAGTGAAATCATACTGTATTTGTTTTTTGTTTAATATAATTCTTCAAGGCCCTTCCATGAATTTCATTCCTTTTTATGACTGAATAATATTCCATTGTGTGTATATACCATATTTTGTTTATCCATTCACTTGTGCGTGTACACTTGATTTTTTTTTTTTTTTTTTTTTTTTTTACCTTTTGGCTATTATGAATAATGCTACACTAAACATCAGTATACTGTCTGTTCAAGTTCCTCTTAGTTCTTTCAGTTATGTACCTAGAAATGGAATCGCTGTGTTATATGGCAATCTTGGTTTTTTTTTGTTTTTTTTTTTGTTTTTTTTTTTTGTTTTGAGGAATCGCCAATTTGGTTTCCATAGTGGCTGCACTGTTTTTACATTCCCACCAACCATGTACAAAAGTGTCAGATACTCTACATTCTGGCCAACATTTGTTATTTCCCTCCCTCCCTTCCTCATAGAAGCCATCAAAGGAGGTGTGAAAGTAGTATCTCATGTTTTGGGTTTGCATTTTCTTAATATCTAATCACCCTTTAAAAATCAGAGGGGCAGGGTGGATCTAGTTTTCAGAGTGAGTTTGAACCCAGATAACCTGCATTTTTTACTTGTTTACTCTGCAGACTGTCCCCAATGGGCAGAGACTCAGCCCCGTCCTGTGTGTAAATAAATGCCCCTGTGCCCAGGGAGCTGAGCTCCCAAAGAGTCACTCCTTAGGAATCCATTCTCCTGACATTTCTCACCTCTGCCAGAGACATCCTCTGAGAGGGACGGGTCATCTTCAGCCTGTCTGGTTGGCGTACTGTATTAACCTAGCTCTGTGCTGACCCGTACAGTAGCACTAGCTCAATTGACATGTGGCTGAGTTATGCTGAAAGTGTAAAACAGATACCAGATTTCAAGGACTCAATAGAAGAAAAGAATATCAAGCATCCAAAATTTTATAAATTGATTAATTTTGAAATGATATCTTCGATTTATTGGGTTCAATAAAAATTTTAACTTTTCACTTTATAACATGCAGCCAATAGAAATTTAAAATTGACCTGTCCTCTCACTTCATGCTTCTTTAGAACAGCTCTGATAGTTGGCTGTTCAGTGATGAGTTGGGAGCCTTGGCTAATTCTGACCATTTTGATGTCCCTGGACAAATTCTTTCTTGAAAACCAAATGGCAGAACTATCTGTTCCTGCCCTGAGGTCTGGAGTCACGATGAGGAAGATGGAACTTGAAACTCTTGAGAGCAGAGGCTGTGCCTGGCATGTTTGTGAAACACCAGTTGCTGGCCTGTGCTGGGCGATTATTATCTGGTGAATGCTGAGTTTGGCTTTCTTACCCTCTCTGTTGCCCTTACTCAGCTCTTCTCTACCTCCTGTGAGAGGGCAATAGTCAGCACCACCTCCCAGACTGATGGATGGTCCTGAGCTAAGCTTTCACCCTTCCCTGGAAGGACAAATTATAGGCTTCCTGGATGAGAACCTGGCAGCCTGTCACTCTGGGAACAGATATCAGCAGGCCAGTACAGGCACTGTAAATGGACAGTTTAGTAACCGGAGCAGAGCTGGCCAGGAGCTTGGAAGATTATAACCTCTAGCTGACAGTGATAGTTGACCAGCAGTAGGGCTTGTTCACAGGCCAAATTCTTGCCTTGGTATCTAACATACATGGAGATGCCGCTGTCCCTAAGCAGGAATATAGGGAGTTTCATTTCTCAGAATCCTGGGGTACATTCAAGTTGTGTCAGGTGTGTGGGTCTAGGCTCACCCTCCTCTTTCCTTCCTTAGCAGTCAATCACACCCCATTTTCCAGTGAGCTCAGTGAATGTCTCCTTCCTTTCCTGGCAATAGGCAGGCAGTGAGTTTGTGGAGAAGACCCTGAGCAACGTATCGACCAACACGGACGCGGCGTCTGTAGTCCACAGCATGGACCTGGTGGTGGAGGCCATCGTGGAGAACCTGAAGGTCAAGAACGAGCTCTTCAAGAGGCTGGACAAGTTTGCTTCCGAGTACGTGGACCTTGACGTCTTTATTGGGTCTGAGGGCTTCCTCCCAGGAATGTGGCTTCTGGCTGTACGCCCACTTGCCCTTCTGTAGCCCACAGCTCGTTCCCGTGCTCTCCATTCACTATTCCCGATTTGCTTCCTAAGGATCCAGTTGCCCTGATCTGATCCTGGTCCCCAAACAAGGGTGGAATTTTCCAGGAGGGACCATCTGGGCCAGGCTGCTGCCTCTCACAGCATCTGGGTCATAGGCCCTCTCAGGCCAGAGGACGGAGGAGGCTTGGGCATGTCCTTCGATGTCTGCTGAGGACCTTCAGAGCAGTTTTTTTCTTTCTTTTTTTAATATATTTTACTGATGTTTTACAGAGAGGAAGGAAGAGTTAGAAACATCGATGAGAGAGAAACATCAATCAGCTGTCTCTTGCACACCTCCCACTGGGGATATGCCCGCATCCAAGGAACATGCCTAGACCGGAATTGAACCCAGGACCTTTCAGTCCGCAGGCCAACGCTCTATCCACTGAGCCAAACCGATTTCGGCAATTCTCAGAGCAGTTTCTTACGTTTCCTTATTTGGGTGGAACTAACAGGATGGTATAAGAGAAAGCGGTGCCTCTGTCTACACAATGTTTTCCCAGGACTCTCCTGTTCTGAGCTTTATCTGTATTAAATCGTAACAGTCTTGTGAGCATTAAAGGAGCATTAAGTTCTGACCAGGCTCTGGCAAAGGGTGGAGAGGACAGCCAGCCCCATGAAGGTCAGGCATGCAAGTGCCTGGGACTCAGGGCTGCACACGGTCAGCACGCTTGTGCACGTGCAGCTCATGTTCTCAGAGCCTGGGGCCTTCTATTGTGCTTGACTCTGGCTTTGGTGACAGTGACACCTAACTGACTCATTTATGCTTTCCTTTTGTTTTGTTTGGCTGCACTCACCCGTCTTGGTCAGAATAAGATTATCTGGCTACAGAGAGACCCTTGCATACCAGCCATAGAGCTCTATGGCCTGGGGTCGGGAGAGGCCCTGCCCCAGCAAAGAGAAGAGACTTATTTTTCTGTCACCTGTCTATCACTGCCAGTCTGCATGCCCATGCTCTGTACGCTGGCATGTAGGGGCTGCAGAAACCGACGACTCTCTTGGTAAGGGTGTTGGCTCCAGAGTGGGCAGGAAGCCCTCTAAGATAAGCAGGCACTTGCCCCAGGAAAGGGAGTGTAATTGAGTAGTTTGGCCTATCCTATATAATAAAAGGCTAATATACAAATTGACCAAACGGCTAAACGAATGGTTGATATGACACACACTGAGCACCAGGGGGCAGGAGCTCAACACCCCGGTGATCAATGTGCTCCCACAGGGGAAGTGCCACTCAGCCAGAAGCTGGGCTCGCGGTTGGCAAGTGCAGCAGCGGTGGCGGAAGGATGTCAGACTGCCATCTTAGGCCCACTCCTAAGCTGTCAGTTGGACATCCCCCGAGAAGGTGCAGGCCAGGCCGAGGGAGCCCCTGAGTGAATGAATTTTGTGCACCAGGCTTCTAGTATTTCAATGTTGGTCATTCCCTAGTGACAGTAACAGGTCTGACTGCCCTCTATGTCAGCATCCAGCAATGGGAGGATGGTAAGGAAAGTGAGGGGTTTTGGGGTCAGCCCCATCACTTCCCTCTGGTTGTGGACTGCCTGCAAACCTTTCTGGCTCTCAGTTGTAGCATCTGTAATTTGAGTTGGGTTAAGGATAAATAATTTCCAAGTCCATCCCAGTTCCAACTCTAAGACTAACTTCCCTAGTAATCTGTAAGATAGGGGAAGTGGTGCCTACAACAGATGTGACTTTGCCTCTGGCCATCAGGTGTCCTTCTCTACACACTTGTTTTCATTTTAAGTAGCTTGATTGAGATATACTGCACTGCAGTGCTTTACAGTTAGATCCTATAACAGGAGATGAAAATATGTTTCAGTGATAGCACATTTGGATGGAAGCCCTGATGGAAGCCCTGGAGGAGGACACGGCTTCCCGTGTGTAAGAACTGCAGACGAAAGCTTGGCTAAGGCCCCTAGCCAGCCGAGTCCTGGCTCTCTCTGTCGACACTCATGTACTCTGACCCACCGCAGTCCCCACCGCCCCCTCTTGTCTTCTCCACACTCTGGCCTGCAGACATTGCCACTGATCATTAGGCTGGCACTGTCGAATTTTTCTTACTACATTTAGGAGGAAAATAGGGGTTTTTTTTGTACCTGGCTGTCAGAAAGGGAAAAACAAAAGATGGTCCAAGAAAGGGAAAATGTGAAGGCGCACTTTTGTGGAAGATAAGACAACCCTCTCTATGTATTTCTTGTGCAGCACATTGTGTTTGTGTTGGAAGAAGACGTGAGGTGCTGGTAGGAGCAGTGGAAGGAGACATCCCCCTTCTGGTAAAACGTGTGCTGGGAGTGCCCTAAGTTAGGGACAATTGGGACTGGGCTCTGTTGTGACTTCATCCTTTCACAAAATATGCTCTGCAATCAGCGCACCGTCATTTCCCCTTTTTGCAAGTGGGTTGCCCTTCAGATGCCCTGCAAATGCCCTTCAAATGTCCCTGCTGCTGTGGCTCAGGGTGTGTGGTTTGTGGCAGCCACACTTATGGTTATTACAGAGGATCTTTTCTCATTACCTTCTAGAATGGACAGATGTTCATCTTATTTCCTCCATTGACCAAAAAGCAAGCAGCTTTGAAAACTACATTTTTAAAAAAAATTGATTTTCCATAGAGAGGAAAGGAGAGAGATAAGAGAGCTAGAAATGTCAATGAGAGAGAAATATCGACCAGCTGCCTCTCGCACACCCCCTACAGAGGGTGTGCCCGCAACCAATGTACATGCCCTTGACCGGAATCAAACCCGAGACCTTTCAGTTCGCAGACTGACGCTCTGTCCACTGAGCCAAACCAGTTCGGCTGAAAACTACAATTTTAAAACTTAAAAAATAAAAAATAAAAAAAGTCAAACGCCCCTCTACCTGGCTTTTAAATTGGCTAACTTGGAAGTTGTTGAGAAAGCTGGGTGCTGTGGCTCTTTAAAAGGGAGCGCTCTCCTGAGAAGACCCAGAGGATTTTCCCTGAGGCGCCTCACCAGCCACCAGCCACACTGGCTTCTCCTTTCACCTCATCTTCTCTCCTTTCCAGACCCACTTGTTTCTCCTCTGGGCCTTCTGCCCCTCCTCCCACTTGCCCCTGATTTTTTGGTAAGCAGGAACCCCAGATCCGGTCAGTAAAGGACTGCTGTCCTTCCTGTTGTTTTGTGACCAGGCCTTGGTGATTCAGTTAGCATTAGGCTGTTTTGTATCTACTCATCCACAAGGTGGTGCCATAGGAAAGCTTGGAAGGCTTGCCTAGTTAAAGATTTGCCTGTTGTTCATTTGGCACCACACTTTATTGTGGTCTTAAATTTTTTTTTTTTTAATTTAAGTCGGTATTTTTTTTTTTAAATTTAACAATATTGTATATGCACAAAATAAGATGGAGCAAAATACCTTGAAAATACCTTGAACTACATTTATCATTTATATTTACACGTGCATCTTCTTTCCCATTGTGGAACCTTAAAACTGCCTTTGGACAGGGGGTTTTCTTCTCTTTTCATTTGAATTCCCACTCAGTGGAGAAGCAAAGCTTTTCACCAAGGGAAAAGGTCTCCGTTCATGCTTCTTATCTGATGGTTCTAGTTGAGAAGCCAGGTGTTTCTTTATAATTTTTTGTTTGAGTGTCTAGATGCATCCTTTCTCACCTTGGTCTTTGATTACTTAGAGTTTTATTTTGTGGTTGAGGTTGGTTAAATAGCTGCTTCCTTTTTCCCCTCATGCCATGAAAATTAACATAAGTAGAAGAAATTTTGCTCCCTAAAATTAAGGAACGATTGGCAAAGGTTAAGTTCGCCTTTGGAACAGATAATTTTTAAATTAATATAAAATTTTAAAATTAGCCAAAACCGGTTTGGCTCAATGGATAGAGCCTCGGCTCGGGGACTAAAAGGTCCCGGGTTCGATTCCTGTCAAGGTCATGTACTTTGGTTGCGGGCATATCCCCAGTAGGGGGTGTGCAAGAGGCAGCTGAGCGATGACTCTCTCTCATCGATGTTTCTAACTCTCTATCTCTCTCCCTTCCTCTCTGTACAAAATCAATAAAATATATTTTTTTAAAAATTTAGTGAACCAGGTCACTTGATTTCAGCTTCTTATATGAAGAAGTCTTTTCTCTGACTTCCTGTAGGGGTCAGGACGATAGATCTGGGCAGGCGTGCATCGCATCTGAGAGTAGTCCTGACTGTTCCCAAAGATGGGATTCATTCCGATAATCTACAACTTTCTCTCCACAGACACACAATCTTTGCCAGCAACACTTCCTCTTTGCAGATCACGAACATAGCCAATGCCACCACCAGGCAGGACCGCTTCGCCGGGCTCCACTTCTTCAACCCAGTGCCCATGATGAAGCTCGTGGAGGTCAGTGGCCCCTGCTGTGCGTGTCTGCTTGCTTTGCCAGCTCCATCCTGCTTCTCCGATTCGCACCCGCCCTGCCATGGGGCATTGCACTGGAAGGATTCTAGTGGGGGGTAGCTTGTCCTTGTGCTGTGTTTTTTTGGCCATAGTCTGTCCTTTCAGAGCCAAAGGGAGGCCCCTGTGCTTCATTTCTCCGCAGCCCTGTGTTCTGACCCGTGATGTCCAGGAGGGCAGTTAACTTCGTGGAATGTTAGTTACTTGTTTGTTCCTAGCTGGTGGGCAGTGTAGAGAGAGGCATCTGACTGGGAGGCAGCACTAAAGATCACTGGCTTGATGTAACTCAGCGGAGAGCCACACGTGTTCAGTTGGTCTTGCTGAGGCCAGTTGCTCCAGGCTGTCGATGGAATTCTTATTAGACAGCCTGGTTTTACACAAGAGCCACTATCACCACCTCGTCCACTGCTCCTGGGGCGAATTTGGCCCCATGTAATGGGGCCTCAGTATTGTCCCCAGGTTGAGGCACATCTTTTGGGTGCTGTGATCAGAGCTCTTTAAAGAGCTCCTGATAACCTTGAACTTCCTGACCACAAACCCGCAGCTGGAAGGGAGTGGCCTGGGAGGGGGCCCCAGCCTTCCTGGTTGCTGCTTCTATGTGTTTGGAGACGTGGGGATGAGGAAGATGGAGCCACACTAGACAGTTGGTACCTGAAATGTGTCAGCTTGCCTTTTACAGTGGAGTAATTACGGGGTGTGAGGAGCAGCCGCTATTGAAGTAGCATTTGCTGTGAGGTTGGAGATTTATTGCCGTGCGAAGTGTGGGGGATGAGGAGCCAAAGTGTTTCGGGACCTGTTTTCCCCACTGCTGCCTTCTCAGGCCTCGTTCCTTCCTTTATCCCTGCCCTCCCCACCCACCCGCAGCAGCGTGAGCCTTAGGTTAAGGAGAACTGTGTTTTCCTGTAGTTTTCTGTCAAGTGACAGCTCTGACCAGCTTGCGATAGGAATCTGTCTGTTCTACTAACATTGCTCAGCTTCTTCCAATTTACCCCATTCCCTAAGGCGGTTTTTGAAGAAGTGAAGAGGGGATAGAGAAAACCACATTTACCCTCTTTTATGCAGAAAAGAGCAAAAGAAGTGGAATGGAATTTTTAACATTTCTGTACTTAGCAACTAATTACTTTCTTGTGTAAAACGCATATCATGTGCATCTGTGTTTTGGAGATAAAGACATATTTTATAGATTTACTTCAAAATCTAATAATGTTGTTTTCAATTGCATTTCTCAGATAGTGTCCATCTGTGTCTTTGAAAAAGTTGCACATTGGTTGTTAACAGCTAATACTTATTAGCAAATGTTACCATTCTCTGGAAAATCTGTTCTAAAAAAGAGCTCTTCTCTATTCACCATTTATTCTTTAGCTCTCACATGTGTCTGAATGGCTCTTGCCTTTTACTTGGAGCTGGATATATTCTTTTTAGGTCTGCTGGGGCTGTAAGCAGGTTATCTGCAGCATGTAGCTATTTGTTGAGTGAGTGAATATGCATCCCTTCCGTTAAAAACCTTTACCATTGACTTCTTTAACAGGTTATTTTTAAATCTCCGTACTGAGCGGCCTGTGCCCTACTCCCTCTTTGTAGCTCTGGTGGGATGTGCAGCAGCACCTTAGATCAGCTCTCAGGTTGCTCTTCGAGGGGTGATGCTACAGAGTGGTGTCTGGCTGGGTTCTTCCCAGCCTCGTCCCCATCTCCCTGGCACTTCTTCCTGCTTCCACTTACTGACTTCCCTCAGTGTCCCGGCACACCCCCCCCCCCCCCCCCCAAGCTGTGCTCACATTAAAACGCGAATGAGAACCTCTTCACTTAGATGCACCTTTCATCTTGCACAGGTACTAGCTCATTAAGGCTCACGACACCCTCAAGTAGGGCTGACATATCAGGTGTCCTCATCCCATTTCACAGGAGGGGCCCACAGGGTGGTCTGGCCTGCCTGAGCTCATAGCCAGGGTCTGAGGAGAAGACCAGCCTCTTTGCTTTGACTTTCAGTGAAGTTTCTTAAGTGGCATTTACATTGTGTGCGTGTGTGTGTGTGTGTGTGTGTGTGTGTGTCCCCTTTTGTGTGTGTTTTTATTTTTCAGTATGAATTCAGTTGGCTTTCTCTCCATTTGCCAGAATCTAACTCTTGAAGGTACAGTCAATGTTTCCTTAGGGCTGACTGCCAGGCGCGGTGCTTGTGCCATTGCCTGTGGATCCCAGTGGCCCAGACCCTTGCACTAGTCCTCATACGAGGACTGGGGGGCCTTCCCAAGGTTCCTGGCAGGCCAGCCCCAGCCCTGGGCCCCTGTTTGCAGGAAATGAAAGCCTTCCTCTGTGATTGGCTTCTTCAGAAGCAAAGAGAGCCTTCAGGCTCCTCTAGTTACCTCCCTGACGGAGTGAACAGGAGCAGGTAAAACATCAGCCAAAGCCGTCACTGAGGGAGCAGTTCCTGTCTGCTGGGGCTGCGATCCTGCCTCACCTCACAGTCTTGCCTCCATTCCTTAAGACAGGTAGAGTGATTTCAGTGTCCTTTCAGTCTCACAAAACATGCCGCGTTGTGGGCCAGGAGGCGGTACAATTGGGATTGAGCCCAGGTCTGTCTCACAACAAAGTCTGTAAAACTCTCCTACATGAACCCTCACCTTTACATTTTAGGCCTTGATTTTGTGTATTCTGCAGTACTTCACGGTCTTAAAGTGTGCATTTTGGTAAACATTTTGTTTCAGGCTGAGATCCTTCTATTCTGAAACAAAGGCTATTTTTGCTGCCTGTATGGGTTCTTTTGGTCAATGTTTCTTGAACTTTTCTGTAAAAATATGTGCTGACTCTTGGTCATAATTCTTCTCCACTTTTCATTTCCAGGTCATTAAAACTCCAATGACCAGCCAGAAGACATTTGAATCTCTGCTGGACTTCAGCAAAGCCCTGGGAAAGCATCCTGTTACTTGCAAGGTAAGGTCTGAGTAGCATGGGAAGGGGTGATTTTCCCGGGAACCTGACTTGCTCCAGGTGGAATTCTTGCATAGGAGAGTGATGCAGGAGATGGAGCACTAACACTGCGGCCTGTCCACGGGTTGGGTAGAGTGAGCCACCCCTCCTTTTTAACTCGCCAGGGCCATCATGAGGAGTCTGAGATCCAGATGGGCCCAGCAGACTGTTGATGAGTGGCTGTGTTTCCATAATTGGGTTTTGTTACCCATCAGCTTTAGCTTCTGGGCCTTAGGAGCCAGAACCACTGGCACAGCCTGATGGACACGTGCATCCCAAACAGAACACTGGGGCGTCGCTGTTGGCAGGAGCAGCACGCATGGTCAGGAGGTGATGAGAGAAGAGCAGCCCGCCCTGCCCCAGGTCATGCTAGGAAAGCTGCTTCTCCGTGGAATGCTGTGTTGTGGTTTGTGTGTTTTGTTTTCAGTGAGAAGTGCGGTCAAATGGAAAGCATGCCTCGACCTTTCCCCCTTAGGATCCCCACCCAGTTATGAGCTGTAAAGTCACCCCTGGATCCACACTACTTCGTGTTGGTTAACTCAGTCTCCCCATTTGTTTAGTCGCCATTATTTCTCCCCAGATTTAAGAGCCACACTTCTGCATGACGCGGCAGCTCTTCTAGCTTTTCTAAAGGGGTCGTTGTGTCACAGAACACTGTTACGGATTTTTATAACTATCTCACCTTTTTTTTTTTTAACCTTAATTTTCTATATCATTGTTGTTCTTTTCATAGCCTATCTTTGCTTTCTAAAAGATTCTTGAGTTTGAACTCACGGTGTTGTGTTAGCCCATGAAGACTCAGGCTGTTCATGAACCAGCCGAGTCAGTCGCCTTTCACTGTGGGCCCCGGGCACCAGAGAGAGCAGAGCGGTGTGTGCCAACCCCCAGCCCAGGATGGAGGCTATGAGGGAGTCTCACTTTGCTAACACTCATTCTTTATTTGTTTAGTTTTGTGGTTTTGAATTGTCTGGGCTTCTTAAAAATCACGTTTCTAACCAGATGTTATGATTGGACTTCCTTACCAGTTTATGTTGTGTTAGTGGCAGGTAGTAGTAATAGGCTAGAAAGAACAGGGTGTAGCAAATCAGAGGCTGGCCGTAAAAGTGGGGGTGCCAGGCCGAGCCAGTGGTCAAGCTCACAGTGTCATCAGTTCTTTCTGAGAGCAAGGGTCTGTTCTTCCACGGGGGATGGGAACTCTTGGGCTCATAAAAGTACCTGGATATCATACAGAACACTTTGTCCAGACTAGGCCATAGCGCTTCCTGGGAGTCCTTCTGGGTCAGTTATTCAGGTTCTTGGAGAGGTATCCTGACGATATCAGGCCCCACATAGAACAGGGATCTGCACGCTCTCCTGGAAAGGGCCTGAGTGTTTTAGGGCACATGGTTCCTGCTGCAGCTTCTCAATCCCGCTGTTGTAGCGGGAAGGCAGCAGAGACAGCATATGCTGAGATGAATGTGGCCATGTGGCAGTAAACTATTTAAAAACAGGCTGGGGGCAGGATTTGGACTACAGGATTGTATTGGTAATTGCCAACACCTGACATAGAAGAGTGGCGTTCATGTGCCTGCAGTGTGTCTTTTCATAGTGAGACTTCACAGGGCAGGAGAGTGAGGTCAGAAGGTAAGGCCATGAACTCTGGAGCCAGCCAGACTGGGTTCACCTCTTGCCTCTGGCGCTTATTAGCTGTGTAACCTTGGGCAAGTCACTTAACTTTCTGTGCCTCAGTGTCCTTTACCTTACAAAGAGGTAATAATAGTACTTATCTCACAGGGTTAAATGAGGAATAAATTATATATAATAAATTATATATAACCTATCTATATACATATATTTGTAATCCTCAACTGAGTATATGTGCTTTTTGTTTGTTTGTTTGTTTTTCCCAATTTAAAAAATATATATATTTTATTGATTTTCTATTACCGAAAGGAAAGGAGAGAGAGAGCTAGAAACGTCGATGAGAGAGAAACATCAACCAGCTGTTTCCTGCACACCCCCCACCGGGGACATGCCCGCAGCCAATGTACATGCCCTTGACCAGAATCGAACCTGAGACCTCTCAGTCCACAGACTGACGCTCTACCACTGAGCCAAACTGGCTTCGGCTGAGGATATGTTTTTATTGATTTTCAGAAAGGGGGGTGAGGTAAACATTGATGTGTGAGAGAAACATCAATTGGCTGCATCCTGTACACTGGCTTGGCTGCCCAGTATGTACCATACAGTCAAGAGGTCCTGATCAAACCCATAATCTAGGTATGTGCTCTGATCAGGAATGGAACCCGCAACCTTTTTTGATGTATGGGACAGTGCTTCATCCAACTGGGCCACCCGGCCAGGGCATAAATTAATGTTTGTAAAGTACTTAGAACACTACCAGGCACAAGTATATTTAATAAATTGATAAGAAAGCATGAACAATGTAAGCTGTACGATTTCATAAAAATAAATTGCTTTATTCAAGGACAATGTCTCTTTACTTCCCACTAACATTATGAGAGTATCTGTCTCAGCATCCTCAACAACACTGAATATTTTAATGGGGAAAAACCTGTTCCCAGTAATCTTACTGGCAAATGCCAATTTTGTTCCAATGAAAAGTTTTTTTTTTATTAGTAGCTTGTTTAAGTATTTTGTGAGTTTTAGCCTCTTTTCAGGCTCTTTATGTAGACGATGTAAACTCTATCTACTTTAGAACGCTGTGTATTCTAAGTAGAGCAGATATTTTTCCCGGTTGCTTTCTGAGTTCTAACCTTGTATATGGCGTGCCTCATTTGAGTTTCTTTAATAAACCTTTTAAATTTGAAAAGCATTTTCTCCTTGATTATAAAGTCATCATCATTTCATTAATACAATTTTGGTTAAGTGGATACAGACCTTGTGTGCATGTCTGAATTCCTGGGATCTAGGGGTAGGGGATGTTTGGAAGGAGGTATAAGCCCTGCGGCGTGGCTGCCCAGTGTGTACCATGCAGGCAGGCAGGTGTAAGAGTAGTGCAGCCGTGTCATCTTTAATTCAGTGTGTACGGATTGCCTAGTGTGTTAGAAATGGAACCCAAGGCAGGGTGAGAATTCTGCCTGCAGGGAGATCACAGCCTTTTTTTAAAGAAGGGGACTATTAACAGAATCAGCTTCACATGAATATTACCAAAAATTACCGCACTGCTAGCCCCCAAAAGATATCAGTAGGTGAACCCACATCTCACACGAGGTCTCCAGGGCAGACGAGGAAGGTTTCGATGCGAGGGAAAGAGTGGAAGGAATTGTCCAGAGTGGTGGATCCTGAGTGGTGTGTGGGAAAGGCCAGCAGTCGGCCTCGGGTCGATTGTTCTGGAACCTGTTCCCAGCTCGAATCCTGCTGTTGTAGCGGGAAGGCAGGAGAAAGTCCTGAGTGGCCCAGGAATGGTTCTGAGGAGCCCAGGAGAAGTGCTCCTGTGGGGTCTGAGTTGGAGTGTTGCTTTTTCTAGATCCCTGACAGTCACATGGGAGAGGAGCGGACAGGAGAGGAGCAGCGGGGCTGCCGTTGAGTGCAGGCAGGGTGCACAGCAAAACTGTTTTCTGCACAACTTGTCACATAGGAACTATGACTCCATTTCACACATCATAAAACTGGACTTCAGGATGAGGCAGGTCAGAGAGTGTTAGAATTTGAGCCCAGTCTGCCTGGCCTCAAACTGTGCTCTTCAGATGCCCCCTTCCTTAACCTTCCTTTATTTCAGGATCACGCAGTGGGGGCATCTGGGGTTTTGTTAAGTACCATAGTTGTTGGATAAATTGTCATGTAAAGTGGAAGTAAGGCTGTGCTGCTATTATAGTACAAGTTTTGAAAATGTATAGCTTCATAAATGTGGTAACATAAGGGTGAGAAGGGGCAGCCTGGTGACTTCACAAAAGATAAAGTTCAATGAAAATTCACGTGTCTTTCCTTTTTCTGTCTCATAAAACAGGACACGCCCGGGTTTATTGTGAACCGCCTGCTGGTGCCCTACCTCATGGAGGCAGTCCGGCTGTACGAACGAGGTACGAACGAGGTAGCTGCCCGGGGCCAGGCGGGAGCCGCAGGCTGGATGTCCTCAGGCAGGGGCTGCAGGAGCAGGGAAGGAGCATCCATTTCTAGCCGGGGGAGTTGGCCTCACCCTGGGCCCTGGACCTGTCAGTGGGTTCCCTGTGACGCCTCTGAGGTGTGGCTCTGGCATCTTCCACCGTAGCCCTGGCCAGAGCAATTGCATGCCCAGCACGGCTTTACATCCTGGATCTCTGCTTTCGGTTAAATAGTAGTAATGTGAAAAAATAGTAGTAAAATAGTAGTAACTGGGCTAGGAAACTGTCAGTTTTCCTTAAAGCTCTAAATTGTGACCGTGATGGGAAGTAAGTAACAAGGCTGGCATGCGCTGAGGAGCACCTCTGACAGCCCTGTCCGGCCTTGCTCATGATGCCAGGGCGCAGGCTGGGTTTTTAACCTTAAGAATAGTCCAAAACGTCTCCTCCGTACTTGTTGATAGACATATAAGACCTGGGACCCAGTCCAGATCATAAAATGTCATGTATCCTCCTTCCTGCCTTCCCCACCACATTTCTGGAAAGGTAACTATCATGTCAGCTTCAAAGGCAAAGAGCCTTAATAGGATGGATAAAAAGCAAGTGTAATTGTTTTCAATTACTTCACAAATGCTTGCTCCTGAGCATGTCATTTCGAAACAAAACGTTTCTACCAGCTCTTCCAGAGAGATGAAAGCACATTTGCTTCCTCAAAAATCTGCTTTAAATATTAAAACTTTTCTCTGTGTTTCAGGAGAGCATTTGTCTCACTTTTGCTCCAGGATCAAACCAACACTTCTGTGTTTATCTATCAACAAACACGCCTAATTACACCTCGGAGGAAGCTCAAAATGTTTTGCCCAACCTTGCAAGACAGGGTCGGTTTTTGTTAGAATAGAGCATGTGGGTGATTCACCTCCTGCTGGTGTTTTTCTCACCGCGACTGTACTGTCACTCTGACATATTTGCAGAAGAACTGTGTATGTGATTGTAAGTCAGAAGTCATTTTCCTGCCTTCTGTCCGCAGTCCCTGGCAGTGGTCTCTTTCTGAACAGATGCATTCCCTTTGAGCCTCACCGTCCCCAGGGGTGGTGAGGTGGAGCTGGAGGGGGGCTGACCTCTGGCGGAGGTGCTCTCAGTTTGCCTTTGACGCTTTCCTCAGCGCCTGTCATTGCTGTCCCTTTGCCTCCACCAACTGCCTCCCAGGGCCTGGGGGCCGGAGCCCATTCTTCTAGAACAGCTGGGGATCATGTCGGGGGGGGGGGGGGGGGGGTGGCTTTCTCCCAGCAAGCCCACTGTGACCTGAACTCCTCATGTCACACCTCTGGCTCCTTACATGTCCCTGATGCTGCCTCAAGGTCCTGCCCTCCTTCTGCCAACACAGAGGTGTGTGAGACGCACCCTGCTACCCGTTTCCATTGTCTGTGCTCACCTCCTGCCTGCATCCATTCTATTTGGAAACCTGAACCCAATTTGGATCTTCTGTTGCCTGTCACATCTGTTCATTTGTCACTGTCGATTCCTCCCTGTCATCCCAGCTCCCCTGTGCTAGTCAGCCTGCCTCAGCGGGGGCTCCTTCGGGCAGCAGACGCGTCGCCGCCTCGCATCCTTTCCTAACTGGTCTCTGCCATGTTTGCAGGTGGCCTCACGCTGTCCCAGGGGGTGCGGACACAGTGCGTGCTGTGTCTGCCCCATGCCGGGGGCAGCCCAGGGCCCAGCAGCAGAGTCGAACAGTGAAGACGTACACTGACTCTTTCGCCCGGCCTTTTCTGAACTCTTGAAGAAAACTCAGTACAACACTGCCTTGGGCAGCTCAGGCTGCTGTAACGAGAATACCACAGACTGGGTAGCCTGTAACAAGTTTATATCTCACAGTTCTGGAGGCTGGAAGTCCGAGGCCAACGTGATGGCAGGGTGGCGTTCTGGTGAGGGCCTGCTGCAGGCTGCTGACTTCTCGCTGTGACCTCACGTGGAGATTGCAGAGAGAAACCAGGCTCCTCGAGTGGCTCTAATCCCACTCATGGGGGCTCTGCCCTCATGACCTTATCTGATCCGGGTCACTTCCCAAATGCCCCGCCTTTTTATACCATTTCATCGGAGGGAGGGTTTCAACATAGGAATTGGGGGACACAAACATTCAGTCCACACAGACACTGGGGATACACCTGTGGTGTGAGTGCTCCACGCACATGGGCTGGCACACTGCTGCTTTGAGGTGCAGGCTCAGCAGGAGGGGGCTGGGCATTACAGCAGGGGGTCATGCCAGTCATCATCCACTCAGGTCTCCTGGCACCTGAACACATTGCAGAAAGCCACAGGCTGCACCAGAGCTTGTACCAACTCCCCATGGTATCCGGGCACTCCACCGCTCTCTCTGCCTCTGAGCCTCGGTGTCTCTGTGTCCTTCAGCTTCTGTCCTCTTTCTGTCACTCTAATTCATTCCCATTGCTGTTAAGGCCTGATGGGTGGAGTCAGTCACCCTCACCCCTGTGGGTCAGAGTCACTCTCCACACCTTTGAGCAGGCTGGTGTCCAGGAGGCCATGGTAGGCTCTGGCAGGGTCATGGGGCCACAGGTGACACCTGGGAGTGCCATGAGCCTGGCCTCCAGTCACTGTGATGTCTGCTCACACTGTTACTCCTTGCTCAGGACATATGCAGAGTCCTGTCGTCATCAAGGACAGTGTCCTTTCCAGGGGCCTTTTTCCTCACCCTCTGTCCCTGTCTTGTCATCACATATCTTGCCTTACCTTTCTCACAACGCCACCATGTGTCCTCAGGACTGCAGGCTGGACCTGATCTGCCAGAGTGTCCAGAGTGTCTGGACCAGAGTGTCTTTACGCTCTGGCTGTCCTTGGGATTGTTGCCACTCAGTTCCTGAGACAGGACAGGTGTCTTTCTCCTTCCCTACTCTTTCTTGTAGCAGTATCCGGGTCTTATCTTCATAGCCTCAGTGTGCCGGTACAGGACAGGCATTGAGGTCACTGTTGCTGTATAAAGGAATGGTGGCTCGCAGAGGTTCTGCTCCTTGTGGCTGTGACCCTGGGTGTTGTTAATTCCAAGCGTGGCTGATAGGTGGTGCTGATGAGCCAGCAAGAGCCCTGCTGGGGCGATCCCAGGTTTGCAGGCTACAGGAGATCTGGGAGTTCCCTGAGGAGGCTTTTCCTTGTTGTCTAGAGTTAAGGACTCTTATCTGGGGAGGAGGGTTCCAAGAACCTCCTAAGGTTAATGCAGAATTTTGCATGTATGTACATTTTCTTTGTAGAGGCATCAGCTTCTCCGCTATAAAGTAAGTTAGGAATTATTAATCTGAAACACCCCACCACATTTAACTCCCACATGGCACACTGATCTATATGTGTGTTTTATTTAGCTCTCTCTCTTTTTTATTTTTTTTTAATTTTTTTTTTTTTACCTCTTTGGCTCTGTATTAACTCAGAATAGAACTTTCAGAGTTGTGCTGTAAAACTTTGGGTTTTGTTTTGTAATATTCTGTCTTCATATTACTTTTTTAAATGAGTCTTTGAATCTGGAATTACAGTCTTGCCTCTAGAGTTCATTGCCTGTCCTTGAATATAGATTTGATTAAATGCATGAGGTGAGTTGAAACCATTATGCCAGGAGATTTCTGTCCCCAGGAAGCTTATATTCTTATGAGATGAGAGAGCCCCCAGTAAATAACCAACATGCTAGGCTGTGACCGGTAACCTCTGAGAAAGACAAAGAGGATGGCAGGAGTGCCAGCCTCGAGCCCTTAGTTTGCATGCATGGAGAGGGGTGGCAGTGAGCAGAGGCCTACAGATGTCAGAAGTCTGAGGACATTGGGCACCAGGCACGGGAACGGCAGGTGCTGAGCCAGAGGAATGTGCGAGGCTGTCATTCCAGCATTCTGGCTCTGACAGCACAGTAGCCTTGGGGTTTAATGGAATTCTTTGAGCAGAATCCGCCTTTCAGCTGCCATGTTCTTTCTCATTCCCGGCTTTGCACATACTGTTCCTGCTGCCTGGAATGCCCTTCGCTGCCTGCTCTTCCTTTGGGGTTCTCATCAGGATATTTAGGACCTGGGCCTGGTGGTGGTTTTGGTGAAGTCATGGGAGTGTGAGTAAACCTTTCCATCTTTGCCCACACAGCTGCATGAGTCTTCAGCTTTTATTAATGGTGAAATTTTTGGTGTCACACCTGACTTCTCTCATTATATCTTGAGCACTCACACTTAAGTGTTGTTCTTGATTTTCTTTGTCTCATTCTAAGTCTGGGTGCCTGGTACCTGGCAGATATGAATGCAAGTTGAATGAATGAATGAGGACGCCTGATAAGGCTAGTGTGTATGCTCATTTTGCTCTCTTTGCTTTCTTATGACTGGAAATTCAAACCATGGTTCTCAGGACCCTCTGGTTAACTAATAATGTCACCCTTATGAGATAATTGGCTGATATTTTAATCGCCTTGAAATCCTTTGGCATTAGGTCAGTACTTAATTTGCTTTTAAAAATTTCCTTTATAAATCTTTAAATAGTTCCTGTTTCTCATGCCCCCAAATCCAAAATACTTAGGTTCTGAGTATTTGTAACACTTTTTATTTGTTATTTTGTTATTTGTTATTTGTTATATAATTATCCCTTTATGCTTTGGAACAAAATTTTAGATAGCCACTTACTACAGACTTCCCGTTCCCAATTTCGGAGAAAGGGACAGGCTGTTCTCTGGAAAGGTGTCCTGTGGCCCAAGGACAGTATGTTAGGGATGAAATTCCTAGGAAGAAGCATGTTGACCCTTGTCTTAGTCTTCTCAGCACATTTTCAAGCTTTCATGGCAGTTCTAAAGCAGGTTTGGGCTTTTCCTCAAATGTTATTTTGACTGAAGTGTTTATGTGACTGTGATTCTAGAGGAATACTCATTACTTGCAAAACCAAGAAAGCTGAAAAAGATATATATATAAATAAAAAAATACAAAAGCATAAAACTTAGTTCTTTAAAAAAATATATATTTTATTAGTTTTTTTACAGAGAGGAAGAGAGAAGGATAGAGAGTTAGAAACATTGATGAGAGAGAAACATCGATCAGCTGCCTCCTGCACACCCCCCACCGGGGATGTGCCCACAACCAAAGTACATGCCCTTGACTGGAATCGAACCTGGGACCCTTCAGTCTACAGGCTGACACTGTATCCACCGAGCCAAACCCGTCAGGGCAAACTTAGTTCTTTTTATATAAAAGAGCCCATTTTTTTTAATATAAAAAAGTCAATCAAAAATCTGCTTGAGAGCCTTAACCGGTTTGGCTCAGTGGATAGAGCATCGGCCTATGGACTGAAGGGTCCTAGGTTCAATTCCAATCAAGGGCATGTACCTTGGTTGCAGGCACATCCCCAGCGGGAAATATGCACGAGGCAGTGATTGGTGTTTCTCTCTCATTGATGTTTCTAACTCTATCCTTTCTGTAAAAAAAATCAATAAGATATATTTTAAAAAAATCTATTTTAGATTTTAAAATATCTAAATGATATTTTAATACATTATTCCAGATTTGGAAATTTCCAACCCATTAGAAAGGAACTAATGTCGGAACCAGGGGCTTTCTCTCTCCATGGGCAGAATTCACCTACAAAACAGCTTTGAAAGTCTTGTGACCTGTTTGGCATGTACCTCTTGACACAAAATCTTAAGCTAGAAACCCTGACTCCCGATATTTTTTGAATGTGCAAAGATGCAAAACCATAGCAATTCCAGAACTAGCAACTGACAAGGAGAGCTGTGGGAAGATAGTAACTCAGGGCTCCCCTTCTCCTTAGGTGACGCGTCCAAGGAAGACATCGACGTTGCCATGAAGCTGGGAGCTGGGTACCCCATGGGCCCGTTTGAGCTTCTCGATTACGTTGGGCTGGACACAACGAAGTTCATCATGGACGGTACGACTTGGGATTCTCTGTTGTCTTTCTTCATTGAGTTGAGCTAGTGTCTCTCAATTGTGCCTGACAGGCCTGTTTAAAACTGAAATTCTAAGGGGTCTTAGGAGACTTCCCGAAGTCCTGCCCACGCAGCTTAACAACTCAAATTACCAGGTGGTAGAGGAAGGAAAAATGCGGCTGCCTAGCATCTCTGCTGCACGGGGCACCTTTTTTATTTTTAACTTTTCACTTTGAGATAATTATAGATTCACAGGAAGTTTCAAATATAAAACAGACAGCCCTCTTCACCCCTTTCCCAGCATCACCCTGCAGTTCCATCACAAACCGCAGCACAGTGTGAAAGCAGGAAACCAGCACTGACGCACTGTGCCTTCTCGCACACACTCTGATTTGTATGCCTGCACTGCAATCAAGATACCCAGCCATTTTCTGTAATGTGCTCACTTTCCTGTGAAGGCTCTGAAACGGGGCAAAAATCATTATTAAAACTACTGAGGTTGAATGTAGCTCATACTACAAGCTCCTACTATTCACAAAGAATACATAGGTGTTTGAGAGGACTGATGAAGGTTCTACTTGAAGCATGAATTCCGGAATTTTAAGAGGATGTAAAATGCTAGCAGCAGCAAATTCGGATTTTTCACATGTTCTGAAAGTTGTTTGACTGTGAAGGGTTCACAGTTGAACCGGTGATTTCAGGAAGGGTTTGGATAAACAGGAGCCAGGGGTCGGGGGAAGGCAGGCAGCTCACCTCCTTTGGGGCCCCGGGGCTGCACCAGCTCAGCCTTTCTCTGCCGTGTTGGCTTGGGGGGCACCACGCCCAAGGGGCTCTCCCACATCAAAGTGGGACCTTTAGTCTTGCCTGGGAATGCTGAGATGTGAAAATAAACCCAGCACTTCATCTGAGCCCTCTCCCCTCCTCTCAATAGGGTGGCATGAGATGGATACACAGAACCCCCTGTTTCAGCCCAGCCCGTCCGTGAACAAGATGGTAGCAGAGAAAAAGCTCGGCAAGAAGACTGGAGAAGGGTTCTACAAATACAAATGATGCGCAGTTGCTCAACGGCTCCGGGAAGAGCCCTGCAAAGCTCCACTAGCAGCCGCCCCAAGTGCCCGCGGGAGTGCCCTGGGGTCAACCTGCTCCCACCCAGCACAGTCTGTGCGACGTGCAATTGATCGTAATCTGTCTGAAATAATTCTTTACCTGTAGCAGGGTTCTCTACTGAGAACGAATTCCCTTTTCTAGTCTGTTCATGTCTGTGTATTTTCTAAAAAGCTTTACACCCTCAGTGCCTTGGAGCAAACATTTCTTTTGAACCTCGTCACTTTGATAAAGCGTTGCCTGAATTCACGCACGGATAGAGGGAAAGCACTTCCCCTGAGAGCGTGCAGGGCTCATCACTGCCACTCGGGAGGGTCCTGGGTGTTGGTGCGACCGCGCTGTGTCTGTGAAGCGCTGTAGGGAGCAGCGCTGCATCTCACCTTTGTCAGAGGTCCGCCTGCAGCTGTGAGCCTCTCCCCACATCCTGGGTACGACATAGTGTCCTGTCCATCCCACTCATCATCTGCTGGACCGGCAGGGACGTCGCCACGCTCTTGGTTTGCAGGAAGATGTTTCACTCACATCTGATATCTGGATGAGTATAGTCTCTCTCTTTTTTTCATGAAAAATCGTTACTGCAAACTGCCTACAAATTGATCTAATAAAATAGAATCTTGTAACCTGTAAAAAAATCGAATTGAAATAAACATGTATAACTTTAAATGGTAACATGCTTAAATGATTACAAAAGCAAAGGTTGGTAATTGAGCCGAGAGCTGTGTCCCACCTCTTTCGGTCCATTGCCATTTTAAAGCGGCAGTGGTGAGGAGGAGGTGTTCGTGTGGAAGTGTTTGTGGGGAGCTGACTGTAGCCATCACTCCAGGTTTCTTGCCAATAAAACTATGGTGGTTAAGTATGCTAAGGGCACAGAAAAAAATTTTTTTAAGGAACATCTGCTGCTTTGCCAGCAAAGGGAAATAATGTAACATAAGCTTCTTTAATCATTGGCTTGAGAAAGTGTCTTCTAAGACAGAATTTTGAAGCTGGAAGGACATCAGAAACCCTGAGGTCCATTGACCTCATTAACAAAGACCCTGAGTCATGTGCCCAAGGTCACCAGCAGTTTTGTAGCAGAGCCAGGATTAGAACTAGTTTTGATGATAAAATAAATACAAACTAGCACATTTGGGAATTTAATATCCAGACTTTCAAACAGGACTCTCCCCAAAATGGGCATCCTTGTTTAGTGTCCTGGGACATAAGTCTAATGGTTGAGAGATTGCCACCCCACCCCCCACTTCATGACAAAAGGGGGCTTAGTAATTTTTTTTTTTTCTTGAATCTTACAATAGCATCATAAGAACATAAATAGGTACGTGCATTTCTACCACACAGAGACCCCAGTTTAGGAAGCTTTTAGGTTATTCTTATAAAACATTTCCTAATGCGAAAAAGGAAGCACCTGTGGTGCCACCACATTTCCATCTCTAAGGGTCACCCTCGTGCCTGAGCCCTGTGCTCTCCGGCTGGCTCTTGGCCTTTGACCTGCGCCTCGCCTCCGGCGGGGCTTCATTTCCTCTCACTGACCAGAGTGCCTTCAGGATGTGGGCCTTTGTCCTGAAAATGGCAGGCTCTTTCTTGACCCCTCAAGTCAGGGAAGAGAGCAGACGGCAATGGGACCATCAGTCTGCCAGGATGTGAGGGTAAGGCCACAGTGATCCTTTTCTGGCTGAGGTTTTTATATGCACTTTCAGCAAGTCAAAAAGGTGGCCTCTGAGCATTTTTATCATTTTCAAAAAATTTTTCATGCATCATGTTTGGGACCAGGAAGGAATGTTGAACATTCTTGTACAAAGAGGCATTGATGGTGGGGTCCTCAGTCCCACCGAGAGCTGCTGCCCTTTGCTGAGGTCCACGCTGCAAACTGGACTGGAGGAACCAGAGGGCCAGGCTGGCTTCCCCTGCACTCAGCGGCTTGTCCAGGCGGATCTGCGAGTCTGACTTCACCCAGCTTCTCGCCTCCCCAAACTCTCCTCCCAACAGCCACCAGGCTCTTCCATCAGGTCTGGAAAGAGGGTACTCCTGCTGCCCCTCTTCCCGGGTCTCCTGTTCTCCCTTCTATGTGATTATTTCCTGTAATAGAATGAAACTTTGATATTAGGAAGAACCACACAATTGATGACATGGCTTGTGAAAAAATTTCTGGGAGCCTCTGGGCATAGCCATCACCCAGTCGAAGTTAGGCTTAGCAAGATGGCGTTCTCTGAAGAATCATTTTAATGCTTATGAAGATGTCTTTGTAAAATAAGAACTGTGGCCCTTTACTGTTCATAAGGTTCACTATTAATAACAGTTTCTCAGGGGAAATGGATGGCTAGCTTTTGACATCAATGATAAGGTATGTTTCCAGTTCAGGCCTGTTACATGGTGCAGTGTGGGGCAAAGTATGGCCAGATCCTGGAACTGCAAACATATACAATTGGGGTATAAATGATTCCCCACTGGGTGTTAAAGAGTAAGTTTTCTGACTCGTTAACATGCCAACTTTCAGAAGCTCATTTCAGACTCAACCACTAATTGGCGGAGAGGATAGAACTCATGTTAGTTATGGCTTACACAACAAACTCTGCTTTCTCTTGAGGTTTTCACGTTACACCTTTCACACATTTGAAACAAGTTTTTGTCTTGTCCCACCTTGATTTTAATTCCTTTAACATTTCAACTTCAGTAACTAACCAGTTAAGTCTACCAAAAGTATAAGGTGTGGCTAATTTGGTGGGACCAATTTTCTTGTAAACAGGCACTGATGATACATGAATAGTAACCTAAAATGTGCTTTGAGCAATGGGAGCATTGCTGTTTTTAACCCATTTATTCGTGTAAATTGTATTTTAAAAATCAGTCTTAATATTTTTTAAAAATATATTTTATTGATTTTTTACAGAGAGGAAGGAAGAGAGATAGAGAGCTAGAAACGTCGATGAGAGAGAAATGTCAATCAACTGCCTCTTGCACATCCCCAACCGGGGATGTGCCCGCAACCAACGTACATGCCCTTGACCGGAATCGAACCCGGGACCTTTCAGTCCGCAGACCGACACTCTATCGCTGAGCCAAACCAGTTTCGGCCAGTCTTAATATTTTTTTATCACAGTTTTTATTTATATAGTGGGAATTGTTAACTCCTGAAAGACAGAAAAATCCCATCATTGACATGAATTCAATGTTTTATTTAAAATCACCATCTGCAGCTGCTGCAGAATTAACTGGAATACATGATTAGTACCATGGACTTCGGAATTAATTAGACTTGGATTTTAATGTTCAGCCCACGCAACCTGAACAACCCCAGGGATTGTCTTCCGGGTGCACCTGGCACAGTGGGCAAGACGACGGCCCCTTGTCCACAGGCTGTTGAAGACCAAACGAAACGATGGCTGTCACAGGCTGAGCTGGTGCTGCGGGGCAGGCTGGTTGTAACCACCTTCCTCTGCCCAGTTTGGAAGGAAGCCAGAGTTCTTCACTGCCCGCAGGCTTACAAAGGCCTGGACATTTCACACGGGGAGGGAGGGGGGGAAGGGGGGTGCTGACTATTGCCAAGGGCCCACGGGTCTTATAAAAGAGAGTCTTAGAAGTGAAGCTGCAGGGCCACCTGGTAAGAGGATAAGTGATAGAGCGCCACCCCCACAGCCTCCCGGGAAGGTCTTCCCGAGCCCCCTGGGCAGCTGGTCGGCTGGTTGGCTACCAGGAGGGAGCGCACACAGGAAAGCTCCCAGTGAGCTGCGGGATGGCTGCCACTTGGATAAGCCGCACTGTGTGAATGGCTGGCACACTGTGGGTGATTTAAGACCCCGGGAGAACAGCAAGTGTGGAGGAGAAAAGGTCCCAAGATTTTCCCAACGTGGTAGTTGGGGAAGTGATGAGACATGAACAGAAGAAAAATTAGACTTTCATCCCATCATCGTGTACTTGGTCAAGGCAAAGCCCTTCGTGTGGCGGTGGGACGATGCAGGCCTCCTTGATGGAGCCGCTGGGTGTCTGGATGGGGGTCTCCGAGCCTCAGCAAGATGCCTCAGCCCCACCTGGGGTACCCCACCAGGAAAACACAGTCGGTGTTTAGGCGACAGGGACCAGAAGGGAAAGCCTCTGGAATAGCAGCTGTTGACTCCCTCAGGTTCAGAAGGCGGGGAACTGAGGAGCCAGAACCAGTATGAGGAGGAAGACATGCTTGAACTAAGGTTTCTGTTTGGGGTAGTTTGAAGGACTGACCCCTAAAGACCTCATTCTGGGGCCCTGTGCAGGTTTGGAGGCACATCTGGGAAGGTGGGTTACTAGAGCGTTTGAGCCTCAATGGTCCAGTTGAGGGAGGGGGATGGAACCACGGCTGTTTTCTCTGCTGCATCAGCAACCTGGTTCGAGTCTCGTGGAGAGACAGCTGCCCTCAGACCGCTCTCTGGTGGGCAGCTCTTGTTAACTGGTGTCAGGTGAAAGGTGGCACAGGGGAGGGATGTGGTCAGGAGCTGAGTTACCCAAGTGCATCCTGGTCTGGGACCAACTGCTCCTTCAGCACTCCATCTCCTGTGGACTCTGCCAATAGCTGACATGACGTTCTTCAGTCCTCGGCCTAAGGTGGTTATTAATGCTTGTGTTTTAATTTTTCTCTGCTGGCCTGCCTTTCCTATTCAGTCTCCTGTGTGTTGGGGGTTCTTTTGCTAGGAGAGAACTAGTTTATAGCATCTTTTTACTAAAATGACAGCTCTGTCCAATGCTGGGCTGTCAGGGAGGGACAGCACATCGCACTCCCTGACCTGCAGCTTGCAGCCTTCCCTCCTCAGGGACCACCGCCTTGTTGGGACTCTGCACTCCAGGGTCTCTGATCACCACTTGAAATTCCCCTTCCATATGGTACAAGGGGGGAAAGACTGAAGAGTAGAATAGAGACAGTCATCCAAAAGTGTCAGTAAAAGTTGGAGTGGCCACATACAAAGAGGGTTGCATTGGCATTG